AAAAAATGCGTCTTGTCCAAAGTTTATTGACTCTATTGCCTCAAAAAACTAACGTTTGTACGTCAAAATAAACAAAGTAGACAAAATGTCATTATTGCAAACTTATTAGTTGGTAACTAAATTTAAAAGTAAAGTCGTTTTTTTTTCAACTAACACATAATTACTTACAAGAATAAGTTTTGTAGCGTTTTGTGAAAATATATTTGTATATTAAAATTTTTTTAATAATTTTAATTTATATATTTGTGTTATAAGGGCAATGCCATGGCCAAAAATGAATAGAAGTCAAATTTTAAACTCTTTTTAGTCAGTTTTTAACATATGAATATTGATTTAGACACATGAAAGTTTATTTAAAATATTTCCTTAGTAGAAAAATAAATTTATTTCAGTTATTTTTATGGTTTCAAAAGTGACGGTTACTCTCATTTTTGCTTGATAAAAAAAATAATTATTGTAAAATGATTTAGTTAAATTAACATTTATGTTAATTTTGCTATATTTTTTTGGTTCAAATTGATAAGGTTGAATAGACATTTTATTAGAAATTAAACTAAGACTGCTCAAATTAACGCAAAAAAATCTAATCGCGAAAAAATTTTTGCCCCCCCCCCCCTCTCTCTCTCTTATAGCTCGCGCCGATGTGCGGTAATGGGGAGAAAAAATTATCGTCAATAAATCAAAAAACATCATCAAAAACTTAATAAAAAATTAGATACCACGTTTTTTATAATTTATTGTTTCTTGAATAAAGGACTAATAAAAGTTTAAATATAATTAAGTTTTTCATTTAAATGGTTGATGTTTTTATTCAATTTTTCTATTTCAAGTTTTCCAATAAAAGATGAAACAAAAAAATTAGGTTAAATAAATCGAATTATACTTCATGTTTAAAATAAGGCTTGAAAATGTTTAAGTAAAAAAAATTGCTGGTTTTTATTAGCATTTTTATACTGTTTGAAAAAAAAAACTAATAAAAAAAATTAACTAATAATATATTAATTAATAATTATTAGAATTAATAATAATAACAATAAATTCTTTTTTATTAGTTTTTTTTTTTCAAACAGTATAAAAATGCAAATAAAAGTCAGTAATTTTTTTGCTCTAATGTTTTTAAGCCTTATTTTAAACATGAAGTTTTGATAAACAAAGGTAAAAACCAACTTTTCAACTTTTCGCTTTAACGACCTAGTAAAAATTTTCCGCGCAGAGATTTAAAGTAATTTAAATTCAAAAATGTTTAACGTTGAAAGAAAATCTCTGCGCGAAAGAGCAAATCATCTATTCATCTATCTATTCAGAATAATAAATTTTGAATGACGTTCTATATGATAAAAACATTACTTTTAAGAATTGGTAAAAAAAATGCTAAGCTAGAAAAAAGTAATTAAACAACCAAAAAAAAAACAAATCGCGAAAAGATTTTTTTTAAGAAAAAACTTATCACAAAAGTGTGAAAAGCAATCGCGATACGCTTAATACGAGATATAAGACTTTTTTATAAGTACTAAACTATTTAAAACTATTACTTAATAACTTTTTTTTAACGACGTCTTTCAACCGAATGATATTATACTGTTTTTGCAAAACTAATTAAAAAAACTTGATTAAAACTTAACTATTTAATCACAACTTTTTTTTACTTGAAAATCGAAGTAGATATTTTAAAGTTGTTGTGACGTACTAACGTGATTTTTAACGACTAACAAATCGAGTTTCAATGGTGAAAAAATCAAATCAAAATGGAGTTGTTTTTCAGTGATTTCGGCAATTGCTTTTTGTTAGCATGCATTTATTATTACAATTTAGTGAAAAAGAAAAAAAACTTACATATTTTTTTTTTATGCTCTTTCATATGAGGTCATATGTTAGGAGCACTTAGGAATCCCTTTAATAAACGAACAAATTTTATTTAAATTATTAAAAAGTGAAATTAAATGGTTGAAAAGAAAAAAATATAATATTTTTTAGTTGTGTAAACATTTCTTTCAAAAAGTTGTAAAAAAAAATGGTATAAAAAAATGTAGTCTTTTTAAAATCGTAAATTTTAATAATTTCATGCTTTAATTAGTAAGTCAAGTTTAAAGAAGAAACAAATAAGCTTTTTATTGACATGATCAAGATGGAAGTAAACATTTCTTTGTTAAAATTAGAAACGAAAAAAAAATAAATCAATTAAATCATAGGAAGGTTTAGTTTAACTTATTCATAATTTAAAGTAACTTAAAACAATAATCTTTTAAAAGATTTTTAAAAAGACATTTGAAAATAGTTTAAATGTTTAAATTTATCATAAAAAATACATATCTACTAAAAAAAAAAATACCAAAAAATCGTTTAAGTTCGGTCACCATGTAACTTAAGTCGTTTAAGAAAAAATATATAAAAGGCATACAAAACTCTTTACCTGTAAATTTACCAGTGAATTTTGACATTTTTATAATAGATATACACCATGGTATTTTATTTGAATAAAATTTTTTTCATAATTTCAAAATTAACTGATGGTTTTTTGAGTTCTAAAAAATATTTGACAAGCTTGTGACATTTTTTTTTGGAGATAAAATTACAGCTTGATGACAATTATGTATGCTTTGCAAGTCCTGTGACGATTGATTGTGTGGATCTTGCTGTTCTACTATGGTCAATGATACGTGCAAAAATTGCATTATGACTTGTTTTGAGTTTGCTTACTGTATTACTGTTGTATCTGATGCGATTTAATGGAAGCCTTAACTTTTATTAAATTGAAAAAAAGTTTTGTAACTAATGTTTCTTCTCCGCATGTGTTTAACATTGCTATACCAAGGCTAAACTTTCCTTATATACTTTCTGATCTTAAATAATATTAAAAAAAACCCTAAACATGTAAATAAATTATTTTATTAGTTAAATGGTTTGAACTAATAAAATAAATTAAAATTAGATTTTATAACTTAATAAAATAGTAATTGCGCTTAAAAAAGCATGAGAACATCAGGCATTTAAAAAGTAATATTTTTTAACCTTGCTATGCTTGAATAAATTTGAGAAAAAAAGAAAAATGAATTAAATTATTGTTTTAATAAAACGTGTCTAACTTGAAAAGCAAGTAGTTACAATAAAAATTTTACAAAATATTTTAATGAAAATTATATATTTTTTACATGTATTTCAATTTGCATGTCTACACTTTAGGATATTCAGGTCAGCAGTAGTATGCTGTCCTAAAGCAAAGATGGGTTGGCTTTTGTTTCGGCATTGCCGGATGCTGACCTGAATTTTGCTGACTGGCATAAACTGGTTCCAACACATCTCTAATATATATATGTTAAAAAATTCTGTTAGAAATTTAACTCTGGTCTGCTTAAAAATAAACAATATTTTTCACAAATTATATTAATATAATTAAAATTAAAAAAAATACAACTTTTATATAACTTTAAGTTTTATGCCATTTTGCAATCATTCAGCCACATTCAAAAATATTTATCAAAGTAAAAAAGTAAAAAACTTTCCCATGTCTACATGCGGAAACCAATTTACTTTTTTTGTTAAATCATTCTATTGCAATTGCTTGAAAAAACTGAAATATTTATCAAATGAAAGAGGTGGAAGACTTTTTTTCTGCATAAATAACCAGTCAGTTTGACTGGTTATTTATGCAAAAAAAATGAATGAAATTATTGTTATTACTGTTATTATTATTGTAATAGTAATAATAATAACTTTTTAAATTTTGAGAATTGGTAGGATTTTTTTTTCTGGAATATAGTTGTTTATTAAAACAATTCAGCAATGTAAAAGAAAAAAATATATCTGGCTTTTCATTATCAAAAAACTTTGGCACGTTTTTCACTTTTTGTTCTATTTTTTGGCTTTCTTGGCCGGAGTTTCTACTTCTGCGGCTGCAAAATCAACATATGTTCGTTTTAATAGCTTCACGTTTTCTTCTTCTCTTAACTTGTTTAACCATGCTTCTTCTGTAAAAGGTTTACCAGCCATTGTTCTGACATTTCTGTCTTTTTTTGCAGGATGTTTGTAGGCGTTTTGGAGTTGAAATTGCTTTAAGAGAGCTCTTTTAAGACTGATTTTTGCACAAGTCACCAATTCTTCTTGAAAAGTTAAATTTAAAGTTGAAATTAAAGTTGGAGTTGCTGGCGGAATTAAGTTGATTTTGGTATGCGGTAGAATTGAGCTGCGCCTCTTAAGCTTAACTTGCCTTTTTCAATCTTATTCAATGCGTTTTTTATAGTCTCCTCAGTGTAAGGCTTCTCGTTTGTTTTATTTTTTGCCATTTTTAAGTTTAGTAAATTCAATTCAGTTACAGATTTTTGAAATTGAAGAAACGATGCACTATTGTGGTTACTTTATGTACTTTTGCACTCTAACTTCAACAGTATAAGTACAAAAGGACAAAATTACTTAACACAAAAGTGAAAACTCAAAAAAACCAAATGAAAAAAATTCCGTCAATGTGAAAAAAAAATAAAATAAATTAACTTTAACATAATAAAAAAATTCAATTAGAGTGAAAAAATAATAAACATAACCTATTAAATTTTAATTTATTATAGGGTGGACTTATTGTGTCCAGTTTAAGGTGAAAACTGAAGAAGAATTCATTTCCGTCATAACTTTTTAACAGAGTAAGAATATAAAATTCTAAAACTATTTTTGAAATTAGCAGAAAATTTCCAACAAAATAGCTTCCTTTGTTTTTAAATTGCCCTTTTAAATCTTTCATGCTAAGAACCTAATTTCCAAAAAAAAGTTTGATTTTTAGGGTTAGATTTTGTTTGAACTTAAATATCTTATTAAGCTAATTATCTGAATAATTTTTTTTTGAAATTTTGTAATTTTCCATACACTAAAAATTAAAAAACCTTTTTAAATTTTGCAAATATTTTTATTTTTAGTGAAGATGTTTAGTTTTTTCGATCAGTGTCCGCTTTTGCGCGCTGTCTGGTTTTTGGTACTTTCACTCTAGTTGTTATGTTTTGCTTTTTATATTTTAGAAATTCATTCAATATATTGCTTCTCGATCGACAACATGGATGCTTCAAAATTTTTATGATAAAGGAGTTCAAGGTTTTTTATTTTTGTTCAATGCTAAAATTATAGAATGAATTCAGATGAAAATTTTGCAATGCAAAGTTGTTTTATAAATGTTTATAATGTAAAATTATATTTTCTTTGATTAATTTTATTAAAATGCATCACTAACTACTCTATAAATGATATTTAAATAGGTTACATCTAAAATTAAAATAAAACATAATGTAAATTTTTAAAGTTTGATATATGTGTGTGTTTTTAATTTATTTAGTAAATTAGGAAAATTTAAGTGTTTTTGAATCATGATATCTGGAAATACTTCTGGTTTTTAACTTTGAAAATAATTTAAAAATAGTAAACATTGTTTTTAAATGATAAAAATTCTTATTACAAAAATAAGACCTTGAAATGATATAAAATCTCAATATAAAATCCTATTATTATTAAATTTATTTTTATTTATAATACTATTAATATTATTATATACTATTATTATTAATATTATTAAAAATTATGATTTAAACTTTAAAAGTTTAATTTGTTTGAATAATCATCAGATAAAACAAGAAAAATAAACTATACATTTCAATTAAGGATTGCAATTTCAGTTATACTGGTTTACTAGTTTAATGATATTGCAATGCTGGTTTACCAGTTAACTGATAAATTAAATAAAAAATTTTTCTTTAATGAAATATGAAATACTACAGCAAAATTATCAAGGGAATTGAGTTAGGAACTTCATTAATTTTGGACACTCTAATACATTGAAGTAGCCTACTAACAATGTTGGAGCATTTTTATAAAGTTCAAAATCCTATACAAAAAAGTCTACTTGATATAGAGTCTGCAGTCGCATTTAACGAAAAGGATATTGGCTTATTATCAGTCTTGTAGCCTTTGCTTTAAAAGCATTGTGTTGCAAAGATGTTAGTCTTAACACAGCTGATATAACATTACAATTTATGTTAAACGAATTAACTCAGCAAAACACTTAATTAAGCAACAAACTTAAGAATGAATTGATATTACAAATTTTTCGAACTCTATTTTAACTCTATTTTTGTGTATTTCAGAAAAGTTTTTAAAATGTGCAAAAATATCGGTACTTTACCGGTTAACTGGTAATATATTTTTTCTTTTACCGAATTACAGGTAATTAAAAAGGTTAGTAATTATACAATCCCTAAGAACAATGTAGTATTAAAAATTAAATAATCATGCATCACACCATTCTTAAGGAATTCAGTGGTGATCAAATATTTTAGATGAAAGAAACTAAAACTACTTTTATATCTTATGCAACTGTCTTAAAAGTCAAGTATAACCATCAATTAAATGTTTGTAACTCTCATAATATCTAGTGCAGATATTGATTTAAAGTTAAAGGTGGAAGTGCTTTATCATTATCTTTATTATCAATTAATTAATGTTTAATTTAAAACATAAAGTGTTTAAAATAAATAACTTTTAAAAGTTTCCTTAACGAAAGTTATACTAATGTTTAAGCAAATAGTTTGAACTTTTGTTCTTTTAAAACAGTATGGTTTTTTAATAAACAGAATTTGTAGACCAGATGTATTTCCAGGTATCACAATTTGCAATCACTTAACTTGTGCCTTGTTGTAATGAATTGATAAAAAATTTTATATCTTTTAATAAAATGCTGAAGTTCTTTTATTTTACATAGCCTAAAAACATTATTCTATAAATATTATTTTGTGTTGGGTTTCTCAACAAAATTTTGCCATCTTTCACAGTTAGCAACACACATTGTTTTATCATTCAATCAATGACTTTTTTTCAGATAAACGATCTTCTTTTACACCCAAAAGTTTTAAACTTTGATTGGTCTGTCTAAAGAAAAATTTCCAATCATTGATACTCCACTTTCTATGTAGTTTTGCCCACTCCCATCTTTTTATTATTTTGAGGCCGAAGGAAAGGTTTCCTCACAGCTATTCTGCCATCAAGCCCTGCTTCAATCAATCACCTTCAATTGATTGAAGCAGTATTTAGTATATATACACATAATTTATAAGAGTTTTTATTCTTTTTTATTTCTGAAAAATTGGACTGACCTTATGCTGATTTAAAACAGTGTTGGCATTACAAAATCAAGTTAAAATTTTGTTTAGTTTTTAATTTTTTTTTTTCTTTTTTTTTTTTGCCTAGAAAAGTATCTGAATTAAAGTAGATTAAAAATTAAAGTGAGCAGATAGATTAGATACAGAGTATTAAAGTGAGCAGAGTATATTAGTGCTGTATAGATTTAAATCACAATTATTTTACAAAAAATAAATATAGGTAGAATATATTAGTGCCATGCTGACCTGAGATTACTGATGCATTACTGATAATTTCATACTCATATAGTAGGGTTTCAGTACATACATTGACTGAGAATTTAGACTAAACCAAATTAAATTTAATTAACCATAATTTGTGAACAATCTTTGTGATTAGTTTTTTATTATTATTATTTTATTAGAGTTTAAAATATATATAGTTATTTAAAGTTCATAACCTTCCGATATGTTCAACAAACCTTTATGTTCATCATTTTCATTATACAAATGTTTAAAAAGATTTTGATTTATTCATAAATTTTCATCATGTTCAAAACACTTTTATGTTTATTATTTAATTATTCATTAATTACATCTTTTTGGTCTCTATATATCAGCTAGACAAATGTACATTTACATATAGTTTTTGTTTATCTTAGTATTATTTTTTTATTTGACATATGTAGTTACCATAGAAATACACGATTTTTGTGATTTTAAATAAGATGATTTTAGGTTATGATATGTCACACATTATCAGAAGATACTCTGCATATCTCTCAGAAAAAGCCATATCATACAGGCTGGCTGGTTTTGACTTCTGCAGGGCTCCGCGAGGGTAATTTCTTTTAATTATTATTCAAACTTACTTTGAAGGTACAAGCACTATTAAGTAACTTTAAAATATAATCTTAAATGTCGTAAAATTAAACTGATCCTATATTGGGCAGGTGAGTCTTTTTAGTCATGGTGATGACATCTTACCTTAAAGAAGGAAAACTCTGATATAATAACCATAATTATATTGTGGATAAGAACCTTGTAAACCATAAATGGTAATCTTTTCTGTGTTAGTGTTACAATAAAAAATACCTGATGCATTCTTGACCTGCATCAGGTTACAAAAAGTTGCTTTGACTCTTTCATAGTGTGGTATTTAAATAAGAAAATGACATATAAATGAATAAGAAAGTGACATGTAAAAAAGTTTAAATAAAAAAATAATGTATATACATTCAAATGACATAAAGGTAACTCGTCCAAACTAAGTGTGGGTTAATTGTCATTATACTAAAAAAAATGTCTTCACTTTTAAATAAAACTTTTTAATTAAAAGGTTGAACTACCAAGATAATACATACTTAGATGATACACTACCAAGATGTGTGCCAAGGTTATGATGATATCTGGTTATGACGATATCTGGTTATGGCGATATCTAGTTATGGCTACTTTGTAACCTATTGTTCCTATGTTATGAATGAATAAGTTTTTTATTTCAAAATTCAAAAAGATTTTTAAATAATTGTAATACCTTGAATTAGTTACATTTGAATAAAGTTTTATTTGTTATTATTACTGTTTTCTAACTATTTATTTAGTATTATTTATTAGACAGGGACAATATTGCTGTATTATAAATATATAAATAACATAATTTAAAAAAAAATTGCAAAGTATATAAAAGAAATAGTTAGAAAACAGTTATAATAAATAAGTTTCATTTATGTATTCAGTATTATTTTTTAAAAATAAAATATGCATCAAATAACATTTTTATCACATAAAATTCACAACCTTATACTTAAAAAATATATATCTAATGAATCAGAAAAAGACACTCCTTGAATAGTTGTTATGCTAATATTAAGGTAATAGTCAAGTTGTCTTCCATTTTACCTTAAAGGGATCCCAAACTCCCAACACATGTTGTGTTCATATTAAAGATATTGTAAAAAAAAAATGGTTTGAACCAAGTTTTTTTGATTAAAAATAATTAATGAATGCATACCGAGAAAACTAATGTTGTTGTTTTAGCCGAAGCTCGCCTTCTCCATTTTTTTCAATAACTCGGAGTCTTTAAATTATACGTCGCAATCTACAGACGTTGGCGATCCTTTGAAGCGCGTTTTATTCATAAAAGTTTTAGTATTTGACGTCACGGTAGATTTTTAACAAAAGAAAAGTGTAATTAAACAAAGCTGCGTTTTTCTAATTTAATTCAAAAAAAAAAAGTTTTAACATACAGCAAAACAACTTTTACAACAAATTTTTGTAAAAATCAAAAATAATAAAAGCTTTTTATTTCATAAGAGGAACTTTTTTTTTTACCAATATCTTAATAATTTTTAGATTTATATATCTTATATTTCTTTTGTTTTTAAATTAAAACAAATATTAAAGCTTTACTTACAAATTTTATGATTTTCATACAAGTGTTTTACATTATATAGAATGTTATGTATACGGTCTCTCGTTTTTGTGCAAGAGAGCACAGTATTATATATTCTGAATCTTACTTATTTTTATTTAAACAATGGGAACTTTTTTCTAACTTCTCTGGTTATTTTTATGCTATGATATTTTTTGTTTTCCCGTTGAAAAAAAGTATTAACAATTAATTTCATAAACTGACAGTATTAATTAGAGATATATGATAAATTGTTAACTTTTTTTATTATAAAAATTTTTTGATTACGCTGATTTATTTTAAATTGCTATATTTGCTAAATTGGATACGGATAAAAAGGAAGTATCATTTTATTTTACATTTGATTTTTGATAATGAAACTTTTAAAACATTGGCAACTCCATACCAATTAGAACCTGTTAAGGTTATGAAAAAAAAGTACAAGAATACACTAAACAATACAGTTGACAGTAGTATCAGATATGAAAATTCGTGAAAGGATATGTGAGATCCTGGTTTTGCATTAAAAGTACAATTAATAACAACACAAGTCGGCATTATAAATTTTGATTATTAGTTTACTGTTCAATATTTTATAACCATCAAATAAAAAACGTGAAGTTTGTATATTTTCGCCCATTTTATACAACTAATATTTAACAAAAATACGAACAAATTATTATTATATAACGCAATAATTAACACATTAATTAATGGCAATAATTCAAGATAAATGGTAATTTAAATTGTCAAAATGTCATAACGCGTGTTAAAAAACATATTTTATTTGGTATTTTCTAATTTGTATCGTATTTGGCATTTGTCTCTTAACATGAAAAATTTTAAAAATTTAATACACAACAACTGGTAAATTTAGCGTAGAGTCATGCTAACAATACAATAATGACCAACAATAAACTGACTAAAAATGAGTTACTAATTGCTTTTCAAACTTTAAAACTAAACAAAGGATCAGGAGTTGATGAAATATGCAGTAATGTTGTAATAAAATCTATGCATTATTTAATAACACCACTGTTGCATATTTTTAATCTTTCTTTAAAACAAGGAATATTTCCAGAAAGTTTTAAAACTGCAAGAGTTATACCGGTTTTCAAATCGGGTGATTCCTTTAATGTCTCTAATTATAGACCTATTTCCATTCTTCCTTGCTTCTCTAAAGTTCTGGAACGAATAATGTATAATAGACTATTCTCTTTTCTAGAAACAAATAATATTTTATACACAAACAATTTGGGTTTAAAAAAGGTCATTTAACTGATCATGCTACTCTTAAATTTTTCATGATATTCTTCGATCCTTTGATAAAAAAAAGTATACATAGGTATTTTTATTGACCTTAGTAAAGCCTTTGACACAGTTGACCACAATATTTTATTAAAAAAACTAGTAAATTACGGAGTTAAAAATGCAAATATAGTTTGGTTTAAAAACTACTTGTCTAATAGAAAGCAGTATGTTTCTTATGATAGTGGTAAAACCGAAAATAAGGCAATCACTTGCGGAGTTCCTCAAGGATCCATTTTGGGACCGCTTTTGTTCTTAATATACATTAACGATTTAAGCAAAGCCTCGAATATTTTAGACTCTATTTTGTTTGCTGACGATACCAATCTATTTTATTCCCATAGTAATATAAAAACCCTATTTAAAACAGTCAACAAAGAACTGTTAAAAGTAACTGAATGGTTTAATACAAGTAAATTGTCATTAAACTTAACCAAAACAATGTATATATTTTTTCATTGCCTTTATCAAAGAGACAAAATTCCTCTAAAGCTCCCAAATGTTAACATTGGGAATCAATTTATAAAAAGAGAACACCCAATGAAGTTTCTAGGAGTTTTTCTTGACGAAAGTGTCACATGGATAAACCACATAAAATTAATCAAAAATAAAATTTCTAAAAATATTGGCATACTTTATAAGGTAAAACCTTACCTAAATCAAACTTGCTTAAAATATATCTACTTTACTTTTATCCATTGTTATCTCAATTATGCTAACATTGCTTGGTGCAGCACCAATAAAAAAAAACTAAACAAACTATTCAACAAACAAAAACATGCCATAAGAAAAATATCCAACGCAGACCGTCTCTCTCATTCACAACCACTATTTATTAATCTAAAAATTTTTAATATTTACCAAATAAATATATATCATTTAATTTTTATGTATAAAATCCATAACGATACGATGCCAAATATTTTTAATACGATGCCAAATATTTTTATTTTTTTATTATGAAAATCTAAAAATTTTTCTTTAAAATTTTAAATTCTTTTTCATTATATTTCCTAATTAGGAATTCTTAATCGCAATAATTAAAAACTGTTATAAATAGTTTTTCGTTTGTTTATCTTTTATTTTTGCTTAGTATTCAATCATTATTGAAAATAAATTTAAAATAAGTTTATTATCTTTATTTAAAAATATATATATTTTTCTTTTATATTTGAAAACATTTTTAATAAAAAGATTTGATGTTATTTGATGTTTTGATGTTGATGATTTTATATTATTTACGGATTATTGGGGGGCTTGGCGATAAGAATATTTTGTCTTCTTCTTGCCCCCGCCATGTGTATATTTTACAAATATGAAAATTGTAATTATTTTAAACGGCAAATTTATAATAATAAAAATAAAAAAAAAATACAAGTTTTCAAGCAATTTTCTCTTCCTATTTACTATTACTATTAAACTTTTGTTTCTCTCATCTAAAAAAAGAACAAGTAACGCAAAAAAAAAAAAAAATTCTATACAACTCTTTATTCATTTGAAGTTTAATTACCTGAAACTTTTCTTTATCTTTTGTTCTACTCTTTTATAAAAAGAGCGAGCGATGAAATAAAAACTTTTTTTTCTAGCATAATTTTATACTTAGAGATAAAATTAAATTAGAAATAAAGCAACAATGAACAAAGCAAATAACAGACTAATCTGTGACTATTTTGATATTAATGAAAATAATCAACATAACCAACATTGCCAACAGCAATTATCAAATAAACAACACAATATCCCATAATTTTAGGGGCTTTTTATTTTTATTGCTTAGTTGTTCTAAATAATAAGTAAATTTAGTTCAAGTTAATATTTCAATATTTACAGTTGCAATATAATAAAGAAATGATGTTTAATGTTGAACTTTTTATTTAATTATTTATTTTTTACCTACATTTGTTATAAAAAACTTTTAAACCCCCGTCATTAAAATAATTTGTTTTGAATATATTTCAAAGTGATTATTCAGACTAATTTTTTTCGCTTGACTTCCCGAACTTCATGCAAAGCAAATTGAGACGAAATATTATCTAACCAAATAAAAATGGTTTTAATAATTTTATAATGTAAAACAATTTTTTATCAGAGTCTTGATTGAGATAATAAATATTGATAATTTATAAACATTAAATATATGGCGCAATAACAATTTATAGCAACAAACCAGCATAAAATATTTGAGGTTTTTAATATCTTTTTAAATGTTAAAAATAGGAAGAAAAAAAACTTAACAAATAATCAAAAAAAGTTTAAATAAAAATATTTCCAGAGTTTCATTTGTTAAAAGTCTACCGTGACGTCAAATACTAAAACTTTTATGAATTAAACGTGCTTCAAAGGAATCGCCAAAGTCTGTAGATTGCGGTGTATAATTTAAAGACTCTGAGTTATTGAAAAAAATGGAGAAGACGAGCTTCGGCTAAAATAACAACGTTAGTTTTTATCGGTATGCATTCATTATTTATTTTTAATCAAAAAAACTTGGTTCAAACCTTTTTTTTAGCATTATCTTAAATATGAGCACAACATGTGTCGGGAGTTTGGATCCCTCTAATGACTGCAAGTCATCTTTTAAGCATTTAATCTACCAAGTCTTTAGCAATTGTGGGTCAAATTTTTCCTGGTATTAATATTTTCAATAAGTTTTTTTTTTTTTTAATTCACCTCCCCAAGGCCGAGAAGGCCACTACAGACGAGAAGGCTACTTTATGGTGGTTGTAACCTTCTCTCAACTCTAAACACGAATTTTGACAAGCAAGGTTACTGCACAGAGAAACGAGTTGCCTTTATTTGGGACAAACTTGGTGGATTTTAATCAGCTTCTAGGAGATAAGTTTTCAATTAGATTTTACCACTGAGGACTCTTAATCATAAGATCTTAATGTTGTTTGTTTTGAATCACTTAGTAGCTGACTTCAGTGTGTGTTTTGGATTTCCATCCAGATGAAAGATGAAATAAACTCTTCTGGCACTTAATTTCAGTTTTCATTTAAAATATCAGTATAAACACCTCTTCAACCAAATGAACTCCAAACCATCAATTATTCTATAAAATAAAAGTAAATAAAATATTGTAACATTTATTAAAGCTTAATGGTTTATAAAAAACAATGTAAAAAAAAGTACATTGGTTTTATTACAATATATATCCTATATATAGGATATAGATTTAGAAAATCAGTTACAAAATAGTTAAACCCAAGGTTTATTTCTTCTTTATGAACCAAGGTAGAATCAATTTGTTAAATAATCAATTAGACATCACTAACTTTTTTTCTAAACTTTTTTCCTGCTTCATCAAAATATCAAGTCTCTAACACCAGATTAGTAGTTATTAGTAAATTCATCTTTGAACTAATTTTTTTAGGACAATAAAACTTTTAAATCTTTTTTTAAATTATTTTTCTGACTTTAAAATTCATCTTAAATGGGTTTCAGAACCGATGGTCAGTCAATATTATTTTGAAAGATGATCTCTTAGGTTGCATACAATATAAGATTACATACGATATAAGCTTCGCTAGCCACAATATAAGATTACATTTTGAAAATAGGAAATTAAATATAATATTTAACTTAATTAGGCTGTACATACATAGTTATATACAAATCTTTCGATAAATTCATTAAATTATTGTTTTGAATTATTTAGTAAAAAAGATGGTTTGCTAAGGAATATGGATACTGTAAAGGTATGATCAATTAAAGTAACAGTTATTTATTTTAAATGCATTATAAATAAATACAACTACAATTTTGTTGTAACTTTTTCAAACATTTGTGTCGCCAAGTAATATTTGTCAAACTTTACTTTGGATAACAAATAAAATAAAGTTATGTGTTAATGAGCAAATAAAACTTAATTATATATATATATATATATATATATATATATATATATATATATATATATATATATATATATATATATATATATATATATATATATATATATATATATATATATATATATATACACATTTGTATATATATGACCCTAGATTGGCAAACAGTCATAGACAATTACTCAGCATATATAATTAAGTTTTATTTTTTTATATTTTGTTAATAAAATGTTCAAAACTTTTTTAATTATTTTTTCATATACCCAATATGCTATTATTATTTTTATATTGAGCATATGAGTTTAGCAGCAACAAATTTAATAAAATAATTTGTAATTACTAATTTAAATTTATTGTAAAAAAATTTTGCATTTCAGTTGTTGAAAACTTTACCAATTATTCGTAACCAATTGGATGCTTTATTAGAGACTTCTGTAAGTTTTAAATTTTTTTTTTGTTCTTTTTTTTTTCTCAAAGAATTTATATAGGTTATTTACTGTTACACAGCAGTACTTTGCTGAACGGAATACTAACTTTACAAATTTCTAATTTGACAATTGAAATGCTTGTCAACTTTAGTATAAAAATGATAAAGTTTAGATCTCATGGTTGAACAATGAACAAAGGTTGCTTTTCAATGTCTTTACATAAAGGTACCGAATCACTCACCTTTTTAAGGTTGAGAGTGGACACCTAGAGAAGACTATTTGTTTTGTTTTTTAATAAATTTTTTGCTCTACAAACTTAAACCGCAAAAGAAGTTTTGTAAAATTCAAAAAAAATTTGACTACTTAAGCAAAAACATTTGGTAAAAATTTATGGACCAAATATTTTGTTAAAGTTATTTAGTAAAATTCAACTTGTAAATTTAATCAATGATTTTGTAAATTAAACTTGATGATTTTAAAAATTCAACCGAATGATTTTGTGAAATATTTTTAACCAAATTTAATTGATAAAATTTACAAAATTTTTTTGATGCCTTCACACTTCAACTTACAGAATTTTTTTGATCACTTCACACTTCATTTTGTGAAGATAAATAAAGTTTCATTTTATTTGGGAAAGTTTGGCCATTTAATTTTGTATTGCTACTTTAAACAAAAAAATGAACTTTAATATACCGCTCGAAAAAAACCAGGGGGTAAAAGGCCCATGGAGGATTTTATTAAAACAGCCTATATATGCAAGAATTTACCATATATGTTTGATGTAAAGGCCCATACTTGTCCAGTAATAAACGACATCTATCTGTCATTTTGTCCGACCCTTGTTTTGTGTGCATTTATTTTATAACTATTTTAGTGGTCTCAAAATTATTATTAAATTTTAGTAGTGTATATAAACTTCATTTTTTGAACTTTTTATTTTTTATATAAAAAAAAAAAATGAAGCTATGTTGATAAAATATGTCGTTTTTTTTGAGCTAATTCATTTTTTAAAAGAACTAAACAGCTCAATTTTTATCATTTATATAAAAGCATTGCAATTAATTATTAATTTAAATTTATATTTTAGTATTTGTTTTATTTTTTGTCTGATGGTTTTTATAAATTTCAAGCAAATATTTTAGCTTTTAAAACTCCTTTTAAATTTATTTTATAATAACTTTAATATGAAATTTTTTTAATGCTTATAGAAACCAGTATTTTTTATTACCAGTATTTTTTATTACACTATTAAATTTGAGTTATGTTACATAATGTTTGCTTTCGCGCTAAAGTTTTTTGCTATTAAAAGTGTTTATAAGAGTAAACATAGAAAAAGTTTAAAAAGATTTTTAATACATTATATATTTTATATTTTTTCAAATATACGTAATTACTTTTATATAAATGTGTCATACTTATATTAAGGTAATTAAAATATTCTTTGATAATTTAAATAAAATGAATTTATTGTAAACAATCATTAAAATTTTGTTACTTTGTTTAATAAAGTAATAAGTAAACATAATTGTTTGTGTATTCAATAAATTTATAACAATTTACAAAGCATTTCACATAGTATAGTTTTTTTTTAAAAAAAGTGATATAAAAATATTTTCCTTTTCCAATTTTAGTTTTTTGTGCTTAAATATTTTCTTTTTCATTAGGATTTTCTTTCTTTATACAAATTATCTATTAAAATTTTTTTTTTATTTTCAGCGTATTTTTGAAACGCCTTAAGTTGTCAAAACAAACTGCCATGGTCAAATTGAAAAAACAAAATATTTTAAGCGTGATTCAAAATGGGGCTCGATATTATGATTATCATATCATATTTATTCATAAAAAATAAATATTTCTTGTGGCTATGATTCAATCGCATTTCTCTAGGTTTTATTGGACATGTCCGCCAAACTTGAAAGGTGGTTTTTTTTTTATATGGAAAATTTTTTTTTTTCAAATTTCAAATCCCACAACCTCTTATTTGGTGAGGTCTGTTATAAAAAGTATATAGTTAAAATTTTTTTGCAAACTGAAAATGGGAAGTGGTCCCCCAAGCCCTATTTCGGAACCCTAAATTAACCAAAATTTGTCTAAAAACTTAATCTTGTAATTTCATTTTTATTTCATAGAAAATACTGCTACAAATTGATCTAAAAACAAATAATATAAAGTATTATAATGTTACAACATATATAGTTCACAGAAGACTGGAAAGTACAAGCAAATTTAGATTAACCCCCCTCAGCATTATTTACCCAAAATCGCTCCTAAATGCCTATTTTGATTTCAAAAACATTTTATTTGCTATAATTTCAAGTAAACTTTAGCTCAGAAATTAAATTTGTATAAATTTAATAATAGTAATAACATGGTTAGCCATTGTTGTGTGGGAAAGGGTTAGGAAAGAATAGGGGCCGGGTGTATTATCTAAGACTTTTAATTTTTTTATTATGCTTTGAGCACTTTATAATTATTAAATTTCTGTTATATTCTTTCTATTATATTACATAAGAAGATGGTTGCTTCAAACAAAGCAACACGCTCAACTACAAATGTTTGGCTAGTTATACATATTCTCTCCACAATAGATGGACCGAGTAAGTTGCCAACAAGTAGTGTTGCACTATGTAGAATTTTTTATGAAATGATAGCCAAAAAGTCAACTCTTTCAATATCCTGCAACACAGTTGCAGACGAAGTTATGATTTTCCGGCTTAAGGCTAACATTCCAACTATAGCAAAGCTTCATGTAGTTGCTAAACTAAAGAGTATTCACGAGCAACATGTTCAAGTGTCTAAGCACAGAAGTAGAAAATTAGCTACTTAACACAGCTATGAAGAAAAGTTCACCACCAAGATGTCTACACTTTTTAATATTGCCCATATTGAATAGGATTGTCTCATCAAGATAAATAAAGATGAACAATTTCTGATAGACCAGAGAGGCCTCCGAAAGATGTTAATGACATTGGAAGACTTAATATATAAGAAAGCAGTTGTAAAATACAGAAAAGTATTGAAGAAAAAAGACGCTATGAACAACATAAAGAAAGTAAAGTTAAATCTACAGAAACATTAATGGATGACAATTCAGATTATTCTTTGGATAAAAATTCTGACTGTGATGCGTCAATTCAAATACAAAAGGTTTTTAATTGTTGAAAAATTTCAAAACATTCTACTATAGGCACTAGTCAACTCTCAATTACAGTATCCAAACTTTGTATTCTTGACAATCAACTCTTTCATGCACCATTATACTGAACAAAACCAACACCACGACAAGCAATGATGGTTGTCACACCAACCCTAGCTGCAATTGGTATTGATGTAAATAAGTTAACATTATCACGTTCCACTCTAATAGAAGCTCGAACTACATCTCACAAATCTCTTTCAACAGCAGTAAGAAAAGATTTTAAACCCTTGGTTCTGCTAGTTGCTTATTTTGATGGTAAAATATTGTCATATGTTGATAGAACCAGACGCGAATGTCTGCCAATTGTTGTATCTGGCTTGGATATTGAGAAATTACTAGGGATCCCTTAGATACCTGCTGGTATTGGTCCTCTGATGGGACAGAAGGTAGTTGAGTTCATTAATGAATCTTGCAGATCTTTGCTTTGACACGACTGCAAGTAATACAGGAAGTTATAATGGGGCAATAACTGTCATACAGAAGTCAATTAACCAAAGAGTTGTTTTTAGCCTGTTGACATCATATTCGTGAAATCTGTGCAAATGCAATGTTTGATACGTTTTTTGTATCAAAAGGACCAAACATTGAACTTTTTGGTAGAGTGAAGTCCCAGTGGAAGTTAATAGAAAAATCAAAGTTTGAACCACTTGAAAGTCATATAAGCGGAACTGGATGCCTTACAGAAGCACCAAAAAATGATCTCCTTTTAAAAGTAATCGAGAACTATTATATAAGTTGACAGCAAAGTTGCAAATGTTGCAAGAAATAAAATTAAACTTCAATTATGGTATTTAAGTGAAGATCTAGCTACTCTCCCATTATTCAGTGAAGAAATTTATGTTGAAGAGAAAATGGAAATTGCAATTGCCTTACAAAAAGAACCATTACCAGGTGACAATAGAAGGCTTGCTTCAAACAAGATTTATACATTCTCTAAACTTACTATAGCTAACTGTGTTACACGACGCTCAATGAATTTGTTTGACTCTCAATCTACCAAAAGAATTCTTGACTTCGTCTTCTAAATCTTGGGCTAATCGTGATGACTACAAGGCTGCTTGTAAGATTGTTTGTGCCATGATAGTGGTTAGTGACTGTGCAGAACGGGCAGTTAAATTAGCTACTGACTTTAATGAAGTTTTGACAAAAAATGACAATGAGCTTCAGCTTCTTTACCAAGTAGTTGAGTATCATAAAAAAAAAATTCAACTGAAGCTACAAAGAGACAGTTAAGCCATAATCATTCTAAATAACAGCAATTTAATCTATTCAAATATGCATACATATAATATAAACTAAATATATAGTTAAGTACATATATGGCTATTGTTTTTCTGTAGTATTTTACTTCAGTTATAAGGTTTGATTATATTATGTATGTTATTTTATTAGAATAATTTTAAATGTTGTTATTTGCAATATGTTTTCTTGAACACATAAAGTTATATTTTTCATTCTTTCAAAATTTTTGTTTGAGTACATTATTTTTTGTTATTTTTTAATTTATAATTTGAATTAGGGCTGAGTTAGAAATGGCTGGTAGAGGGGTATATGGGAATCTCGTTTGGGGCATATGGGCTACTAGTACTCACAATTAAAAGCTGAAGAAATGTTAAAAAAAATAAGAATTTTTTTCAATTTGTTATAACAGCTTTTTGTATTTTTACCCCTTCCCCTTGCCCCAAGTTACCCCTGCTATATACATTCATACACTTGTCTTCACCCTAATAAGTTAAATTGTTGCATGTAGCACTAGCAATAGTTTATTCTAATGCCTTTCAGAAAATTATCATTTTCAACAAAAGCGGGCCTCAAAAGGGCTTAAAAAACATGTCTGGGTCCAAGTGCCTTAAAGGTGTGATCTGGGCATTTGTTACTGCTAGATACATTCTTTTTATTGTTATCACCCTAATAAGTAAAACTGATGCATATAACACTAATACAAGGTGATTTTTATAGATTTCAGAAATATATCATTTTAGACAAAAATGGATTTCAAAAGAGCCTTAAAAACAAGTCTGAGACCTCGCGTTCCTAGGGTGGAGTCTGGGAATGGGTCATTGTTATATACATTCTTATAATTTTTTTAACCTAATACGTGAAACTGATGCATGTAACACTGATACTTATTGATTTTAATACATTTTAGAAATATGTCATTTTGGACAAAAACAGGGTTCTAAAGGGCTTACAAAGCAGGTGTGGGGGACCACTTCCCATCATCAGTTTGGAAAAAAATTTTATCAATGAATATTTTTTGTTGAACCTCACCAAATAAGAGGGTGTGCGATATCAAATTCAAAAAAAAAACAACCACCCTAATATATATATATATATATATATATATATATATATATATATATATATATATATATATATATATATATATATATATATATATATATATATATATATGTGTGTGTGTGTGTGTGTGTGTATATTAATATATATGTATATATATATGTATATAGATATATATATGTATACATATATACACATATATATATATGTATATGTATACATATATATATAAATATGTGTATATTTGTGCACACACACACACACACACATATATATATATATATATATATATATATATATATATATATATATATATATATATATATATATATATATATATATATATATATATATATACATATATATATATGTATATATATATTAGGGTGTCCCAAAAAACAACATTTTTGAAAATAATCTGCTCTCACCCCCTAAATGTGTTCTATCTAATGCAAAAACACTAGGTTTAAATTTTTTTTGAATAAAAAATATTTTAAGGGGTCCCTTAAGACCCTCGAATATTTAATGGGTCCCTAATATTTTCGAAAAAAAAGTTTTTCAAAAATATGTCAACCTGGTACTCAAATAAAGCGAAGTTATATAAATATTTCAAAAATAATATTCATTTCGAAATATTTTTAACTTATTTATCAAAATTATCATAAAAAAAACATTAGAAATGCATTTTTTTCATTTTTTCTTAAAAAGCGCAATTTTTTATGTAATGAAACCAAAAATAACAATTTTGTTTCGAAATGAATATTATTTTTAAAATTTTTATATAATTTCGCTTCATTTGAGTACCAGGTTGACATATTTTTGAAAAACCTTTTTTTCGAAAATATTAGGGACCCATCAAATATTCGAGGGTCTTGAGGGACCCCTTAAAATATTTTTTATTCAAAAAAAATTTAAACCTAGTGTTTTTGCATTAGATAGAACACATTTAGGGGGTGAGTGCAGATTATTTTCAAAATGTTGTTTTTCGGGACACCCTAATATATGTGTATATACATGTATATATATATGTGTATATATACATATATACATATATATGTATATATGTATATATATATATATATGTATATATATGTTGAAGTTTATAATACAAACTAACAAGTTGAGGGTTGTAATACTTCAAAACTAAAAAGAGGTAACACTGCGCTGCAGCATTTTTGTTTTGATTTCCTTAAAGTACAACTTTGCTGCCAAGTTATTGTGACCAAATACAATTTTAATTTTATTGTTTGAAGAATCGTTATTAACACAATATTAAAAATCAAAGATTTTAGATTTTTATTATGCAATGTTATTTTTTTTTATTATAATATAAATTGTATTTAATTATATATTAAAAAAAAATTATTTTTCTTAAAAAATGAGAAATTGTTTTTATAGATAGTTTACGTTTTTGTTTAATTCTGCATTTTACCTAGCATTTTTACAAAGCATAAACATGCCACAGTGTTCATACCTTGAATATAAAAGTTTTTATATTGCAGTTTTATTTAGCAGCTACTTAATTGAAAAGTATTTCATCTTTTTCTGAAAATGCAACATAAGTTGGTTGTTTTTTATTATAAAAATAAATAGATTTTTTCAAAATATCAAAAAAAGTAAAAATTGCTAAAAAGCCTATACTTGGATTAAAAAGTGCTAAAAGGTCCATATTTAAAAAACAAGTTGATAGACCATGCGGAATCCCACATGGCCTCTGGGGCCACCACGAATAAAAAAACTTTGATTTTCTAATGTCTACTTTGTAAATGAAACATAGAATAAAAAAAGTATCCAATACCGAACTAACAGTTGCACTTCAAAAATATATCAATCATCCTAAGCACTACAATAGCATTATGATATGTAAAAAAATATTAGCTTTTTATTAAATTATTAAATGCTTAAATTATCAGACAATCTAAATTATTAAATTTTAAAAAATTAAATATAGGTGTCAACAATTGAGACACTTCTAAATTTAAAAAAAATATAATAATTTTATGCTTTTTTTTACTGATTTATCTTTTATTTGTTTTATTGTTCGTTGAGATTTTGTTTCTCTTCAGTTTATGGTTTGTTTATTTTTAATTTTCTCTACAATTTAGTTTGATTTTTCAGCACATTTTAAAAACATGCTTAAAAGTTATCAAAACATGTAATGTACTGTGGGGAAGTTGTCAAAATAAAATGTGTGCTATATAAGGCGCCCAACTGCACCTCTCTTGCAAGTAGGCCTGATACTAGATGTGTTCTATATTGCATTGCTCTTAGAGAATACAAGTGACTCTACATCTTCAACAAAACTTCCACTAAAATATAAAAAAAGCACACATATTTGTATTACACATTATTTTTTTTGTTTTTTTATCTTTTGAAAAAACCATTACTAAGCATTAAGCTTCTACAGATACAGACCATAAAAAAAACTGTTGTGAAAAAAATTGTGTTTTATATGTTGTTGACATAATTATTTAGAAAAATAATTATATTAAAAAGTTTGTTCAGAATATATTATATGTAAAGTAAACAGTATATAAATATATTTTAGTACTTATACATCTACAAAATGAATTAACAATAATAATGCTTAATAAGTCAATTTTTTGTAGCATATTAAATGTTTTATTATTTAACATTAAATACTTTATTATTTAGTTATTATTATTATTTTAATTTCATTTTCTATTTGTTAATAATATAGATGTCAGCAAATGATTTAACCAATGGTGTTTCAACAGCTGCATTTATGCTACTATTTAAGGTGATTTTTTGAAGTTTATAATTTTTGTTATAAATGTATAGAAAATAAATTTATATTTTTGATAATAAATAATTTTTTCTTATTTTCAATATAAAAACATAATAATTATTTATTATAACTAAAAGCCATAACATACATATGCAATTAAATTAATATACACTAATATTTATAAGAGAATGACAAATAGGTGAACAAGAATATAACAGGCAAGCCCGAATATTTCTAATGAATTTAAACATTTAGACTTTGATTTATGTGCTTTAAATATTTTTAAATTTTGTTTATTAAAACAAGTAGAAAAATTATAGGAACTGAAAGAGTTTACAATAGCAATTTTTTTGGTCTGAGAACACAAAAAGTTTTGTATTCTCAATCATTTATTTTTTTTATGACAAGTAGTAAAATTTTCCATTATAGCGTTCTTATAAGTCTGTATTTGTTCTTAGTTTGCATGTTATAATTTTAATTCAGGATTTGATTCGTTCATTTGCTTGTTATAATGATGGAATCATAAATTTATTAGGTATGTTGCCTAGATTTAATTGTTATTTTGTTATATTTATTTAACCATATATTACCAAAAAAACTGTATTTTGTTTGATAACTATATAGGGTAAGTTAGTATATTTTCGGTTGCTATTTTAAGTCTGTAATGAAGGTTTGCCATTTATTCAAAAATTACAGTATTCATTGCAGTAGTGGTTCATTCATTACAGTAGTGGTATGATTTTAAAAAGAAATGAAAACATGGTATAGCATTACGCAGAGCAGATAACATTGCATCAAACAGAGCTTCATTTTGCTTTTCCAATATGATTGAAAAATATTTTAACAATTACAAAAAGCAATACAATGAAATCAAAATCGATAACCTAAAAATTTCACATATTTGAATCTGCGATGAGTGTGGTTTTAGTGGCAACCAATGAAAAATTTCAATTTATGCCAAAAAGGTACAAGCCAAACTCTTAAACTTACAGAAAACAATGAAAAAATTAATTATACTGTAAACAACTGCGCCAATACATTAGGCTTCTACTTAACTCCTTTCAATGTTTATAAATTAAAAAGATACTTATATCAATTTTGGTCCAAAAATGGTCGTACTCACACAGAGTATGCAAGATCAGATTCAGGAAAATCATAATTTATTGAGTGAATAGAACGGCTATTCATACCAGCAGTAAAGGCGATTGGTAGAGAACACACTCTTGTATTAGATGGTCAGAGCACTCAAGTGTTATTAAAAGTTATTGAAATATGTAAAGAAAACAAGCCCGATTGGTCTGCCTACCAATTCATTCAAATCATGTTTTGCAACCACTGGATGTTGGAATATATTCTCACATTAAACTGACCTAGAAAAATGTATTAAAATCATATAATGAATCATCAAAATGCAAAAATGTTGATAAAGCTAATTTTCCAAGTTTATTAAATATTTTATATGAAAGTGAGAAGTGCTTCACCAGGACACAGCCAGTGTGTTTGAAAAAATAGAGTTTTTTCCTAATAGTAAATCTATTATTGGCCTATCCAAATTGACAATAACAGAAACATTTGCAGGCCTTGTGATGAATAAAAACTGCGCGACACATAAGCACGACGTGATTTTTGACGTCATTAAATTCTTTTTATTTGCTTTTCATATTTATCGACATTAACGGCACCAATTTACTTAATTACCGCAAAACTACTTTAAATCATTAATGTAGAAATGTTATTATTTAAAAATGTTTTGGAATGTTTCGTTTTTTTATTTTTTACATTTCGAATGTAAAAACATTTGTTTATTTTCTCAACATTTGATACGTTTTGTCTATACTAAACGAATAAAAAACATAAGCTTTTTAAATAATTATTTTTTCTTTTTAAAAAGTCAGCGAGTAATAAACTGAAAATTTTAATATTGTACGATTAAAAACTGTGCAATAGCTAATATTTTTACTAGCGATTTTATATAATATTTTTTTATTTATTTATTTTTATTTATTTTCATAAAGCGGTTGATAAGCACAATCACTTGTATTATTAAAAAACTTTAACGAACGTTTTGAATAGATTTTTAATGTTTACAAGGAATTTTATTTTTGGTAAAAAATAAAATAAAATGTTAGAATAAAAATCTTTTAGGTATAAAAGAAATATTTCAGCGAAAAAATTATTCTTAAAAATTAATATTAAAAATTATTCGAAAAACTATTGATGTTCTATTTTTCAGCAGCTGTTCTTGAGCACGCTTCGTTGAGTTTCGGTAACTTTTAACAAAAAAGCGATTGTTATTATTTAAGTAATTTTTTTCGAGTTACTTTTTGCAAAAATTTTAATAACTGTACTTTTTTATTAAATCAAGTAGAATACGTTTTAATATTAATCCTTTTGGATTTTTATTTGCATTACCAATTTTTAAAACATTTCCTCGAAATTACTCTTAAATACTTTAAATTCGTCTAACAGTTGATAAATATTTTTAAATCTTTGGAATAATTTTAAAACCTAACAAACCCCGTAAAATAATTATTTAAGTTAAAAATCTAAAACTAAAAGAAAGTATTTTTGTTCAATTTTATCGACAACTTTGCTATTACTGATTAATTTTATTAAAATGCTAGCTTAAAAAGATTTAAACTTTTTTTTTAATCTGAATTTTTTCTACTTGTAAATAATGAGCATATTTATTTTTTTTGTAATTCAAACTTTTATATCAACTGCGTGCGGTTTTTAAAATACTTTATTAAATGTTAAAATAATCATAAATTACTTCATTAAAATTCTGCTCAAAAATATACTCAAACAAAAATTTTTTTGCTCGACGCAAATAGCCCTAGCTTCACGCAAAATCGCTCTTGGACAACGTAAAATTCACATCGCCCGACGCTTTATCGCAAGGCCTGCATTTGTAAATCTAGCACAAGAGGAAGCATCACAATCAGCATTGACTTTTTTTTTTTAATGCTAATTCAACTCCCCAAGTCCAAGAAGGCCACTACAGACAAGGAGGCTACTTAATTGTGGTTATGACCCTCTCTCAACTCTCCGAAACAGGATCCTTGATGAACAAGGCTGCTGGGAAACAATTTAAGTGTGGTACTACCAAGGATGTGGTGGGGATCAAACTTTAAATCTCTCGTTTATGAATCGAGCGCTCTACCACTACACCACTACCGCATAATCTATAACTATTATAGCATAACTATTATCGACTGCACAGTGTTCATTAATTTCAGTTGAATATTATAACATAACATACATTACAATTAAAATTGGTTTAAAATCTGCAATAACAGCATTTCTGCAATAAAATCATTTCAAAATGTAGGAAACAGCAAAAAGTACTTCTATGTTAAGAGTGTAAAGCAAATTTCCATGACTCAATGGTTCAATGTGAAAATAATTTGTGTCAATTATGGTTTTGCAACCAAATATGTACTCCAAAATGATATCAACAAGGAGTTTTTCTGCACTAAAAAGTGTAGAATTGACAGTTTCAATTTGAGTAATAGATATATTTTTCTTTTTAGTAGTTTTCATATCTGAATTAGTTTTTTCCTTGATATATATATATATATATATATATATATATATATATATATATATATATATATATATATATATATATATATATATATATATATATATATATATATATATATATTTTAATTGATTATAATGATGACAAACTTTAGTTGAAAAAAATAAAATTCTGGTCAAAAAGTGTTTCTTGTAAAATTAGTTTTAATGAATAAATATTATATAAAAACAAGGTCCTTTATATATTGAAAAAAATATGTTTTCACATTAAAAACAAATTAAACTTTCTGAATGTTGACCTGAAGTAGTTGACGAAGTAAGTAAATAGAAGGCTAATTTACCCTAGATATTTGTTTAATTTAATTTAAGTCATCAGTCAATCGTTATCTTGCTCTACAGATTTAGTCTTTTCTCTTCCAGTAACTTCCAACTCTTATAGTGGTTGCTTGCAGCCTTGTTGGAAGTGAAGATGTTAAAAAAAAAAAAAAAAAAAAAAAAAAAAATTTGATATTTTAATTAATTTAATAATTACTTTGTATTTTTATTATCATGTCAATTTTTTAAGTTGTTTAAAGTTTTAAAAAGTTTGATGATTATCTCAAAATTGTTTATATATGATAGTATGGCTATAATTATATATATGGCATATAATTAATTGTAATGTAGTCTATAGCTGTATATGTGGAGCAGAAAATATAAAGTAGCCAAGATTAAATAACATAGTGTAGCAATAACCATGACCTCCTAAGGGGTATGATTAACTTAGAGTTTTCAATAGGGTAAAATTAATCTCTTTTTTCTTTTGTAAGACCCATGAGAAAAATTGTATTGTGTTTCAGCTACTCAACCCTTGGAATCAGGAAAAATAAGATCAAACTGTTAGAGGTCGGCTTCAGGGTTTACATTGAGGGTTTGGCATGGGAAAGTATTTTTGTCATTTACTATGCTTCATTTTTTTTTTTTTTTTAAATTTTTTTTTGTTGATGCACATTTTTAGAATAAGAGCTCAAAAAGCATTTAGGAATTTGTGATATGTGTGTGTGTGTGTGTGTGTGTGTGTACACATATAAATATATACATAAAAACATTAAATTAGTAACAACTTGGAGTTCACGCTTTATGCGATCAGATCAGACATTACAAACAAGCCATAACGACTATTAAATAAACGAATTTCATTTCGTTTATTTAATAGTTTCAAGTGTTTATGTAATAATATGGAATTTTTGGTTAAACAAAGATCACACAACTTTCCTCCAGGTATAAATAGCTCTGCCCTATCAATAACCTTCCACATAAGAATATGATTTGAAAATCCTTTTTTTTTTTTTTTTTATTGCCCATATATATTTAGAAAGTTCTGTGGAAGTTTGTCAAATATGTTGGTGTATTCTACAAAAAGAGTGCTCAATGTTTTTAAAGAACAGAGCACTCTTTTTGTAGAAATAAATTAGTAAAAATCACTTATCTAACTTAAGTTGTTAATTTTGTTGGTATATTCTACAAAAAGAGTGCTTTTTTTAAAAAACAGAGCACTCTTTTTGCAATAATAAATTAGTAAAAAACACTTATCTAACTTAAGTTGTTACTGTCCTTTAACAAGATCATCAGGAAGAAAGTCTAAACTTCATTAAGTTCAATTTATAGAACAAAATTTTAATAGGAAGTTATAAATTGTAATTAAAATTATTTTGAAAATCTGTATTTTTCTGTTAACAGGAAGTTACATGTTATATTACATTACATATTATAATATTATTAATGTATGAATAAATGAATATTACTTAATATAATTATTTGTTGTAGTAATTTATCAAAATTTTTTTCAGAAAAATATTTCGATATGAAAAAAGCTGATTGTAAAGCTGCTCTTGAGATTTACAAGCGTTTTCTTGCGAAAATGGAAGATGTATCATTATTTTTAAAAGTTGCAGAAGAAGCTGGAATAGATAAAGGTGAAATTCCTGATCTTGCTAAAGCACCACAGAGTTTACTAGAAGCAATGACCTCTCATTATCAATCCTTAGAAAAAGGAAAAACTGTTACGACTGGAAAGTAAGAATTTAAAATAACTTTTTGTTTTTATATACAAAAATATTCTTGGTTTAATATTTTAGGTTTGCTACACAAACCTTTATTCTATATTATTTTAAATTATAGACCTATTACTTTGGCATCATTGAATCTAGAAACATCTGAATTTGTAACAAGCAATTCAAGTAAATCTTTGAATGATTTAGACACTGCTGATGTATACTTGGAGCAAGAAAGAAAAATGTTAGAAATGTTTGAAAAGCGAAAAAAAGAAGAAACTAAAAATATGGTTCCACAACAACCAGCTACAATAGCATCGCGTTTTCAGTCTGACCAATCCCAAAATCCTTTTAGTCAACCTCAACAAACAATGAATAACAATACAAAACCTTCTGATGATTTAATGTTGCTTTCAGTTAACTCGTCTGTTTACCAGCAACCACGACTACCAAATCCATACATGTCTAGTAATTTTTTTTTTTAATTTTTAAGTTGTTTTTTTTTTTACATTTATATCTGTATAAATTCTAAGACTATAAACTAGAGTAAAACATAAAATACAGAGGTGTATAAACTATTTTTTCTTATATTTCAATCTGATTTGTACAGATCGCCATCAAATGTAAAACAAAATCAAAAATACTAAAAATTATCAATGTTTTTTACACAAAAATGTCAAACAATAAAAAGAATAAAACATACAACATCAATAAAAGTTATGTTTGATTCTTATAATAGTTATTGTTTTCTTAGAAAATTTTTTAATTATAATTAATATACAAGTAATTATACTCAAATGTTTCAGAAAATAAATCACATTTAAGTAACTATAGCAACAGAGCAAAATTATCTTGGAACAGTTGAAGACCATTTTCCACGAAAATTATTATATTAGTAAATATAATAATTTAACATGAATTTTTTAATCAGCATTACTATGTTAGATTCTATTCTTAATGTTTTCTTTAACAGTGTGGAGAGTTTTTACCTTTTTTTTTTTAATTTTATTTTACACTGCTGTATTAGAATGTACAACAAAAAGATTAAATAATCTATTTAAAACTATAAAATATTTTAAGAAAAATTCCCTATATTTATCATTGTTATGTTAAATTTAATGTTAAATTTAGTGATCAATCCAAGTGAGTTTTGCATATTTAAATAATATAAATTATGAAAGTTTTATATATTGAAATCTGAACAAATATTTTTAGTGTAATTATGGTCAAAGAAAACAATAATAAATAGTACTAGATTTGAATTTGTTCATATATTTGTGTGATTAGCTGTGCCAAAGTATTAGTATCAACCAGTGTTGATAATTGGCATAAATCTTCTTGCCTCCACTTTTCCGCAGCAGACGGGGGCTGCCTCCCAATTAATTTTTAGTAGCAAAATGTTTTTTATTTTCCCTTTCTATTGGTGGCCACAGTCAGAGTTTGTTTTTGGAGGCAGATTGTTTTGGAGGCCAACGCCAATAGAGAGGCAGAAGCCAATGGTGGCCGCCTCCAGAAGAAATTTTGGAGGCAAAACCTTTTGGAAGCTGCCTCCAATAGTCTACCTCCAAACTGGCTGCGGCCACCAAATTGGAGATGGAAATATTTGCCTCCCGCTGGCAGATGTAATGAAAAATAATTGCACATTTGTCTTTAAGTTAACAAGCAAATAAAATATTAACAAGAGAACAAATGTTAACAACAAAGATTAGAAGTTAAGAATAAACATTGACAACGAAGTTTTGTTTTATAATTTATTGACTATTTAAATAATTTTTAGAAAAAAAAATTGAAATTTTGTCAGAGCGGTTGTTTTTATTGGACTATTGAATAAATTAATAATTTCATATTCAAAACAAATGTTAAAAATTGGAAATTTTGTTTACATTTTTGTTTATATTTTGTTTTTTAAAAAGTAATTTCATATTCAAACAAATGTTAAAAATTAGAAATTTTATTTACATTTTGTTTATTTTTTAAAGTTAAATTTTTGTTCAAGCAAAAAAAATCAAAAAAAAAAAAGTTTATGATAAATATTTAAATTGTCAGTTTTTGATCAATGTTAGATTTTTTGTCGCCCTTACAACATGCTAAAAATTTAATTTTTAAGCCATAACATTAAATTATTAATTTTAGTCATTATATATTATAAAAATATTTGAAAAACAATGTCTTTTAATATTATTAAAAATTAATAAAATTAATTTATTTTGATGTTAGTTTGAATTGAACTTTTTGCAATAATCCAAATTTAAAAAAAAAAATTAATTTTTTAGATTAGAACATTTTACTCGCTATATTTTTTTCAATAACTTTTACAATAACCAATTATTATAAATTAATATTTAACGTTAACCAAAATCAGTCAATTTAATTACTTATTATAATTTCTTTTTTTTTGTCGAAAAGATTTATTCGCCAATGACATTGAAGTAAAATTTCCAACTTTTAACTTTTGTTTTAAATAATAAAACTACTAATTTATTCTACTTAATTTATTAGTTTAAAAAAAATTTGGATTTTTTTTAAATACTCAAAACTTTTGCAAGCAATCATATAAAATGAAACTTGATGTCAAATATTTATTATTTGTTTCTAGGTAATATTTAACTTGTTAACTTATAAGTAAACGCAATTATTTTTCATTACATTTGCCGGCGGGAGGCAAATATTTGTGCCTCCAATTAGGCGTCCGCCACCAGTTAGAGGCAGAACCCATCGAAGGTAGCCTCCAAATGATTCTGCCTCTAAAAATTTTTTTGGAGGCGGTCACCTAATGGCGTCGGCCTCCAAAATATTTTGCCTCCAAAAAATCACTTTGGCTGCAGCCGCCAATAGAAGAGCGGAAGCTACTGGAGGTGGAATATTAGGCTCGTTTGTTAAAAACCTCGAAAAGTCCTGGAATTTGATAGGTCATGGAAAAGTCCTGGAAAACACCCCTTTTAGCACTAAATCCTGGAAATCCTGGAACTTTTTTCTGCAATAGTTCTGGTTATCATGGGATTATCTTACAAATATTGCGTATAATTTCTACTGAATTTATTATGTATTTTCTGAAATGCAAAATATTTCTTGTTAACTGTTACTGTCAGTATTATTAACATATACTAATTATTTTGAAATTATAATACATAACTAATATAATATAATATATAACTAATCTAAGACAAAGAACTGCCATTTTCAAACAGAATGGCTATACAACAAAAAGTATTCTTCTTGGGTAGAGTTCTGTATCTCAAATTCTGAAAACCAAAACGTAGTTGGCGCAGAATGGATATTTCTAACATGGGAGTATCTGCCTTGGATTCTCATGCAACTGTTAAGAAGCATAATTTAATGCTGCAGATATTTTCTTTACTGGTAGTTTATTATTTTTTATTTTAATTTTAATTTTATATTTTTTATTATAATTTAAGTTTTTTTACTTTTATTTAAATATATGCTTTCCTGAATTTTGGAAAGCTTGTAGCAAATTGATTGGCTGTGTTCTTTACAGGATAGTTTTAACTTTTTTTTACATTTTTTATTCTTAGATTTTGCTATAGAAAAATCATCTGGCAGCAAAGCAGCTATAAGTAACTTACTTAAAAGTTCTCCTAATTAAAAAAAATATATAAACTATAAATCAACACAGCCTACAATTGAGGATTTTCCATCTCCAGCTCTGGTTACCAAGGCAGAAATAATATGGACCTTGAATACAATAATGTCACATTTTTATTTAAGAGGTGCTAAAATTTAAATGAAGTATTCAAATTAGTATTCTCTGAAAGCACAAGAGCATCAAAGTTTGCATTAAATAAAACAAAATGTGGTTACCTTATTAATTTTGAATTAGCACCACACTATCAAGACCAGCTTTTTCCTGATGTCAGAGCATCACCAATCTTTGTATTGTCATATAATGAGACTGTTTATGTTATCTTCAAAAATGAACAAATGTATTTTGGAGTTTAACACTGGGATTTAAGTTCTGGTGTTGTAAATGCTAGATATATTGACCCAAAAATCCTCATATGACCTATTTAACAAAATTTATTTGACAAACTCATTAAAGCAATAGAGGTGTTTGATCTTGGAAACGAATTCAAGTATGAATGGATGGTCCTAATGTTAATTGGGAGGTTCTGAAAATGTTAGATAAACATAGACAGAAAAAAAATAAATTGTGATATAGTTGATATGGGGAGTTGCAGTATGCTCACTGTGCCTTAAAGACAGTAATAAGTTCTCAAAAGTGGGAATCTTGGTGTTTGCAAATCTGATCTGTTTGCTTTACCATAAGTATGCATTGCATTCAGAAAAAATTAGGAAAAATATTTTTATATATATATATAATTATGTATATATACAGTGCGTGTGCTGAATTGGGAGCGATCGTTTCTGACACATGAAACACGCCGGTAAATGAACTTCCAAGCGCAACAAATAGTGCTCGCTAGTTTCATTACGAGAGTAAAAAATCTTGCTCGTTTATTTGGTTGATCTATTAACGTTATTTGTTGCATCCGGAAGTTCATTTACGGGTGTGTTTTATGTGTTAGGAGCTCCCAATTCAGCACAAGGCCTGTATATACATATAAATATTATGTTACAATTTCTTTGCAATTCGCTAGGTAGAAGATGAATATGTATCTTCTAGAGGAATTTTTGTATGGCCAAACATGGTTAAAATTATAAAATATTGGGAATCAGTGTGCAAAAGCAAACATTTCAAAAACAAGAGCTTTGAAGCTTTTTTAGATCATTATCTTGACAAGTTTTGTACCTTTGCGAATGCAGTTTTTAAAGATCTTGCTGAAAAATTGAAAGAATTTGTAGTTCTATTTCAAACAGACAGACCTATCGTGACATTTTTATCGAACAGTTCAGAAAATTTTTTGCAAAAGAATTTAGTTTAACAAAAATAGAAGTAGAGAAATCAAATAACCAACTAAAAGTAGACCAAGTTGACAGCACTTAAACAGATGCTAAGCTCTCTTCGCTGTAAACCAGAAGAAAAATTAGAATTTAAGAAAGAATGTAGGCAAATTATTATAATGTTATTGCAAAAATTTCAAGAAAGATGCCCATTGAAGTATTCTTTAGTGAGGAATGCTTCATCTTTGTCTCTGAATGAAATGGTTCAAAACAAGGAAGTATCCACTCTGAAATCCCAGAGTCTTGCTGAGAGATTAAGTGCATTAAAATGGCATTGATTAGACGATGCAAAACAATAGTATGATGAATTTATTGGTGCAGAATGTGTTTGATTTAGAGAAAAATTTAAGTCCTTTATTGAGTTAAATTATTCTGTTGATAAATTTCTTGGTATCTATTTGCGCAAAACTCAAAAGTATTCAGCATTGTGGAAAGTCTGTGCTATCATTTTTGTTTTATCTCATAGCCAATGTACAATAACAAAGATTCAATGTTTACAAACAGTTGTTAGTAGAAAATCTACAAGAGAGATCTCTTGTTTCCCAAAG